TAGTTCATATGATTGAGTGCAAATAAATAGGAAAATATTCATTGAAGGGTGTAGAGTTAGAGGACTTTAAAGTGACAGGTTAAAGCCCCCAACTTTGTTTATTGTTTTAGGTTCTGATACGAGATGTTAGCCCCCAGGTGCAGGGAGTCGAGGGAACTGTAGAGTGAGAGCTAGTATCTTCCCTGCCTAGCCGGTCGTTAGAACTATTCAAACTTTAAATTAACCAATATTCTTTATAGCATCTCTAGTAAGGGTAAAGAATATTATTGCTCCTATTTGACACAGCACAATATGTATACTTCCAAAACAGAATTCTTATACTTATTATTGATTCATGAAGAGGAGAAACATATTTTCATATTTAGTGCTTTTTCTCTACAAAAACTTAAGTTATCTTTTTAAGTTTGTACTGTTTTTGTCAAAATATAAAAATTACCAAAAATATTTAAACTTTCTTTATTGCGAAAATGTCTTTAGTTTAAATAATTATCTTTTTAAAAATAGAAAATTTTCCTAAAAGTGCACATTGCACGTCTTCCCTGTGGGTTTAATATTCAGGTCTTAATCAAAAAGTCTTGTATTACTTGATAATGATATGTATACTTGTGTAGTATCCCAATATATAAAAATTAAAAGTTAAATTCTTATTTTTCTTCGGGATCAAGTTTTTGGTTTTGTTGCAAAATAATGAAATATAGTGAAAATTATAATCAGAATTATTGTTATATTGTTGCATATAAGCAGTTACCATGGGATCAAAGCACGAGAAGTAGAGGCACCTGAACTGCTAGAAAATCCACCTCTCCAACCACAGATCGAGTGATGTGAATAAGACTTCATATTAACGCTTGTAATGGGCTTTAGAGGTTGCAGAATCTCTTCCCAGCTATCAAATCTAACATCTGCCTGCTCACATAATGAAAAGATCAAGGATTAGCAGCGACGATATAACTGATGATATTCTCATAAATCATAGCTCCAATGTCAATAGGTTTCATGAATGCAATAGTTCAAGATATCTATATCGGTCGGTAGCAGACGAGCATAAATAAAGTGGTTTCACACCTTCAATGTGGCATCTAACTTTGAAGCGGGGAAATTGACTCTTCTTTCATTAGTGATCTTTCACAGTCCTCTTCTCAGAGTCAACAATGATATAATCCATCCAACTCCTCCTAAGTCGGACTATAGTTTTAATAAAAACATAACGTACTAGGGGGCAACTAGTAGAACAGATTTATTACCTCCAGGGAGAAAGGCACAAGTTTTCTTCAAAACATGACCCAATCTTCTTCAGCTTCAGGGAGATTCACGTAGAACTCCCAAACAATAGAAATCACAGCCACAACAGAAAAAAATCAAAAACGTTCCCACTATCGGCGAACAATTAAGTCTTCTACTGCTCCACTCGGACTCTTAAAACACCTCTCAGGAGTCAGTTTCCTTGACTGCAGTGCATCACTTTATCTACCTGAGCTCTAGTGCTAACAAATTTGTTTGAATCGAAATGGATCTTCGATGCAGGTAGATTTAGTGTGTAAATTTTGCAAATATTTTTTAATATTACAAAATATACACGGCAGATATAATGATAAATATGCAATATAATCCCAACAAAAATACCTTTTATGTAAATAATTTATCTTTAAAACTTTTTTCAAACGTAAATTACGAAAATTAAACAAAGCTTCTGTTATGACAAAAAGTTCAAATTTAAGAAAACATCATTTCCCTTTATAATGAGTATATGGATTGTGAAGAAATTGAAATCATTTGAATATTATATATATAATTGTGTCCTTTTATTATACATATTATATGCCCTAATAACTCGTCGTTTATATTTTAATAGATTGTGATTATTTGCAATATTTGATATATCAAACACATTTGTAATATTTTTTTATAAAAAATTATATTAGTGTGCCTAGAGAACCATCGCCACATAAGAAAAGTTATTAGCATTAAACTTATTTTGAGTATTTGCACTGTATGTATCATTAATTGTATTTTCTTTTGGATATGAATAGTTTTGTTTTCACAAGCTACCATTTTTGTTTCCTTTTCGTCAGATGTATTTACTCATTAGACTGTAATTATGTTCTTTGATAACTTGATGACATATTTGTTAGCTCATTTCTCATTCTAGTATATCATACTTATATTTGCATCCAAATTATTTTCTTATGAGTATAAAATGGGTTTATATACCTTTATCACATGCCAAGTTAGCGGGGCATAACGCCATCTATACATGAAGTATGAGAATAAATCAGTACCTTTCTCTAACAGCTATGGAGTAGCGAGTACAAAACCCAAAGGGCAAAATCTTACTAGACTTATGCTGATAGATCATCCCTTGGTTGAATTCACAAAAAATATCTTGTATTTTCAATCTCTAATCAGGTTTTCTAAACCTTTCATTTTTATAAATTTCAAAGAAATTAAAATGGATCCATCCTTAAAGGCCTTGGGAATAAACATAAAACTAAAAAGAGCAATCAATCACTCAACTCATTGTTTCCATGTGACGATGACAAAGATAACAATACTGACAAGAGAAATTTGAACTATTTGCATAGGTAAATGATGGCCTCTACCTCTATGAAGAAAAGATGTAATCTAAGAATAAATTGATCTTTGCAAAAACATAACTCGTTTTGTTTCTTTGTTTTTGGGAATTCACCCATGTTTTGATGCTGCAAAACAAAGTTATCGCCATTCATGCACTTGCTAATAGCTTCACATTATACTTGAAGACGAGAAAGATGCTACCATCCATCATCAAGAAATTATTGGATTTGGAAACTAGTTTTTGAAAGGCATTCGACGGAATGAGAAGTACACACTCTTGATTGAATTTAAAATGCTTCGAGACCAAAGAGGCAAGAGAAAAAAGGTTTTAAGAAAATAGAGGAACCACACGCCACTTATGTCACGACCCCACCCAATGTCACTTGTCATATTGATGGGGGTCTCTTTGTGTCTAGATGGCAACAGTTAAATAATTATCCAAGTTCTAGTTGGAATAAACTTTATTTATTTAATTCTTCTCAATTTTCATAAACCTAAAGTCATGAATATCTTTAAAATATTATAAGATAAAAATATTCAAAATTTTATTAGATCTATCACAACTATACAACAAAAAGTACACGCAATAATCATAATATAATCTGTCTATCATCAAAATACATGCATCGTCAAATCTTTAGAAAATGTAGATGTAAGGTGGTAGCCAATCTAATGTCATGATCTCAATAATAGCTAATAGTCTCTACTTAACTTGAGACTTACACTTCCCTGGAATAACACATATAAATAAAACAAGGTTAATCATCCTCAACTATTCTAAATCTACTACATCTTTTAACATAATAAAATTAAAAAGAACAAATACTTATTTTAAGTAAACTAATTGAACATAACAAAATATTATTAATTGTGTCTATCAAAATACAATACTAGTACAAGAACTAGTAACCACAACAAACATATGTTGATTAACAGTGTCCGCAACCTGATATAAAAAAAAAAGTAATATAATATGAAATAATAACTCATTTCCTTATTTAATTTATTTAATTATTTTTTTTAACTCTTATATCTCCCCTTCCCACTTATACCAATATATCTTCGTATTTCTCATTTACCTCTTATATCTCCACTTCTATTTATACCTGAAATTATTCGCGTTTATGCATGCATATCAACACATAAATGAATAATTATATATGTGCACAAGCACTTATATATTTACACATAACATACAACAACCCAACCACACAATCATTTACACTTCCCTCATTCCTTTTTCATTTTTGCACATATTTTGGAAACATAAGCATATAAATATAAAAATTTTTCACATTTGTAAATATTACATAATATGTTGTCGAAATCGATACAAGTTAGTGTATATAAATAACATTAAAATTTGTTGAACTAATATGAATGGAAGGATAATTAGAATTTACTAAAATACATAAAATATTGTGCAACATAAAATATCCTTTGCCTATATCAATATGTTCAACGTAGTCTATCATGCAACATATAAAATGTTACGCGATAAAACATCTCACTAAGCTGACTGTTTTGGAAATTACAGGGCATCAAAATTGCATTGTGGGGCAAGTTTAGATATTCATAAAAAATATTATTTTTATTTAATTAAGGACATAAATGTAATTATATGAATTATTTTATTATTATTATAATAAAAATTACGATTCCAAAAACTATGAAAAAATAGGCAATAATAAATAGAAAATCATATCATGAACACGTTGGTAAAAAACATTCATTTCCTTAATAAAGTGTCAAATCTTTAAGAAAGACAAATCTAACAAAAAAAATATTCATTGTCCTACTTATGTGTGCATAAAAATACGTAAAAATATGCATAAAATAAAATCAAGTGTCCTTTAAATTTTTGTAAAGATAATTTGTAAATCGAACATAAAACAAAACTAGATAAATTATTCAAATTTAATAAGATCGAAATTCGTAAATTAAAGTTTTGTGAAAATTAAAGGCACTTAAAATCGATGAATAAATCATATAAAATCATCTCTAAGAAAAATATTAGTAAATTTGAAATAGACATGCAAGATTTATCATATCCCAAACTCGGGTCACCATAGGGAAAAATTATTCCATACGGATGGCGTATGCCGATCTCAACCGTCGATCAGGAGGAAAATATATTTTTGGTGGGCTCTTAAAAAAAAAAGAAAAAATTGGGGCCCACCGAAATATATTTTTCCCCTAATGTACGGTTGAGATCGGACGGAGCATACGCCGAGTAGTCATTACGACTTATAATGGGAAAAGTTGAAATATGAAGCGCCAAAATCATTCCATGCTGGCCATATCATCAAATACTCATCATACATGGAAAAATAAATTGAAGAGAAATTAGTCATATCCTCAACATAGTATGAAAAATGAAATTTAATATTATTATAAATGACACATTACATAAAAAAAAATGAGAACCACTTGTTATGACACTCTCAAACTTGGCTTTAAGAGAAGAAGCCGCTTCGCCCAACAAAGCTTGCACTGCAGGATCAGAATTGCCAAAATCATTCCAGGGAGGCGGGAAGGCTCAGCGAGATTTTGCTTTTGAAGAGTGCAGACAGGATTCCAAAACAGACAAAGCAGATAAAGAAGCAAAGGAAAAATCATGTTTAGCAAATTAGGTAATTTGCCTAAGCTACAGTGGACCGGGCTCCACACCTTCGTTAACAAACTCCACCTTCAAATAAATGATGGTTGCAAAATGAGTAATAAATGCCAAAAACTATTTTATTAAGATCTCTAGCATAATTTACTATGATTTACTGAATAGCTTATAAAGAGAAAGTCGTCTTAGATGGTTTGGTCACATTAAACGTCCACCATTTGATGATCCGATTAGGCGAGTAGATGTTTTAGATTCGACTTATGTTAAGAAAGGCAGAGGTAGACCTAGGAAAACTTGGGCTAATTGCATAAAAAATGATCTTAATTTATTAGAACTAAATGAAAATATGACACTAAATAGGACGCAACAGAGAAAAAAGATTATGTAGTTGACCTCACATAGTGGGATTAAGGCTTTGTTGTTGTTGTTGTTGTTACTGAATAGCTAGATTTATGTAAACATATGGACAATATCAACTTCTCAAATTAGAAGTAACCATTCTTGCAAGAGAAAAAGAGCATCAGAGCCAGAATTAAAGAACTCTTCAAACGATGGAGGGCTATTTACAGAATTTAGTTATATTAAATCTCCTTCCCTTATTCTTTTTGCATAACTCTCCAAATATATACAACGCAAAATGCATATCTAGGATATTATAGATTATTTTGATTTAATTTTGGATGAGTTTTTGGTTCAAACCCTACTCGAACCTGAAATGAATTCATCTAACTGATTAGCTATATGCAAATGTCAATGACAAAGTTTGTCATAGCTAAGAAAAGCACACCGCACCTAACGAAGAACTCACCAATTATGATCCTCTCTAGTCTTTTATTTACTTATACTTGTAGGTCTTACAAATATGATCTTGACATCACCATGGATAGATTTGGATAAACATCAATCCTCAATACTGTTTATTTATATCTCCAACTATATTAATTGTGTTCGTGACTATATAAAAATGCAAAGTAGCTAAAATTAAATTTTGTTTCCAGCTATTTTTAGGGAATTAGTTTACTTACACCTCTACCACCGAATGTAAGAGATTTCAACCTTTTTCTTAGATAATCTTGATTTTTTGACTCTTTTTTATTTTAAAAAGAAAAGCTAAATTGAAATCTTCTAAAAATAAGCCATTTATTCTACTAAAGAAAATGTTAAGAATTCAAGGGTTGATTGTTGTATAACTAACCACAAATATATCCCAAATCCAGGATGAAAAATTTAATGGAACGGGGAAGAATAAACTTTGTGCACTTCACAAATTCAGACCAATCTAGATCTCAATAGTGTAAAATGCTGTGCTTCATCAATGCGACCAACTCGACTAAGAAGGCTAATCATGCAATCAAAGTTCTCCTTAGTTGCATTCAGTTTATACTTCTGAATCATGGCTTCAAAAAACTTGAGAGCCTCGTTAGCCAATCCTGCTTCATCACAAACATAGAAGACAACATCAAATGTAAAATGAGTTGGATTGTAACCATCTGAAAGCATAAGATCAAACATTTTTAGTGCTTCTCTGTACATCTTATTATGACTATATGCTTCAATTGCTGCAGTCCATGTCAAGGATCCTTTGGCCTGAACCTGATCAAACTCCTTTTGAGCCATCTTAATTTCTCTGCACTTGCCATATAAGCTTACAATCTCTCCAACAACCGAAGGAATCATTTCCAAATTAAGCTTGTAAACCTGTGCATGAATCTCTTTTCCAAGCTTTAGAGCTCGCAATTTGCCACAGGCTCTCAAAGTCCTGCATAAAATTACTGCATCTGGACGTTGATTAGCTGTCACCATTGATCTAAAAGCTTTGAAAGCACAAGTTGGGCTGCTACTTCTCAAGTATGATTCAATTAGTGCAGTCCAAGCTATGACATTCTTCCCCTTCATTCCATCAAAAACTCTGCAACAAGAAGCAATCTTTCCACATTGTGAGTACATGGTTATGAGCGAAGTTTCTACTGACACATTGGGTAAGAACCAATGCTTCAGAGAATAGCCATGAATCTCCTGCCCTTGCCTCCAAGCCTTCAACTTGACACAAACAGGGAGGACTGTCGCAATAGAGACAACATCTGGTTTTATCCCATCTAGCTGCATCCAAGCAATTGTTCTTAGTGCCTGCTCCAACCTATTGTTTGATGCGTATCCAGACATAAGAGCAGTCCAACAAACTTCATTCCTTTCTGAGGAGGCATAAAAGACCCTCCTTGCTGAGGTTATATCCTTGCATTTACAGTACATGTCAATTAATCCTGAAAGAATAAAAATCATCTTCACAAAGTTTCTGAATCGTTTCATGACATAGCAATGAACCTCCCTACCCAAATTCCGCTTTGAAAGCTCACCAACAACTGGAAGAACTGAGGTTATCACGACTGAATTCGGCTCTATTTCTTCACCAACCATCCGCCTGAGACACTCTAATGCTTCCCAACGAAGCTTATTGTGTGCAAAGCCTGCAATTACCGTACCCCATGAAACAATATCCTTTTCCGGAATTTCATCAAATATCTTCATAGCCATCCCGACCTTCCTGCACTTGAAGTACATGTCAACCAAGCCCGTCTTAATGAGCAAAGGGGCTCCAGCAAATTCGTTCTTAATCAAAAGAGCGTGGGCTTTCATCCCTTCTGATAGCGCCGGCGAACCTGCAAAACTCTTTAGGAGAGAAGAGAAAGTATACTCGTTGACCTCCACGCCAGCTTCTCTCATGGCTAAGAAGATGGAAAGCGGCTCATAGCCCCACCTTGATCCCCCAGTGAGATTTCCTCTTAGTAGAGCATTCCAGGGGTAGACTGTCGATGGAGAAAGCTCCGAAAAGACGAGCTTGGCATGCTTCGGAGAGCCACAGGCGGCGTAAGCCTCGACGAGCTTCGTGAGGAGGAACTCATTGAGGTGGAGGCCGCTGATGCGGAGGCGAGCATGGATTTGACGGGTATAAAAGAGGGATTTGAGTTGCGAGGCAGCGGAGAGGAGGGCAGAGAAGGTGGTTGGGTTGACAGGAAAATGCCGCGTTGATCGAGGTAATCGAGAACGGTAAGGGCCTCACGAAGCTTGCTTTGGCGAGCAAGGCGCTGAATGTCGCGGTATATGGATTTAGGATTTTTTGAGTGGAGGGAAAGGGATTCAGGGAAGGAAGCACGCCCATGGAAGTGGCGGTGGTGGCCGGCATTGGGGTGGGATGGTGGAGCTGGTGGTGCGGCCGTTGCAGAATTCAAAGGGAGAGATTTAGTGAAAGATGGAGTTTTGGAGAAGGTAGAAGGGAGAAGGGATTGGGGATGTAGAGGTTGAAAGGACGAGGGTTTTAGGTTCCATGAATGCATGAATTAAACTGGACATGAGAGGGTACTTAGTGGCAAGGAGCTGTGAAGACCTCGGACTTGAATTTGAGCAGAGAAGAAAAATCTGCGATGGCTTAGAAGGATTTTCCGAATTTTCCGATACCTCTTAAAATTTAGTCAAGATAAAGCAGGTTCTTTTCCCATGTCTTGCAGCTATTCAGAATATATGCCACGTTTCTTCCGATTCCTTTGGGTTTGATGGACGAGCGATTATTACCTCACGTATATTTGCATCAATGGGTCACTGAAGTACAATTTTTTATTTTTTTTTTCTATTAGAATGAGGCCACGCAAATTTACGTTAAATGAAAAGATGTAGCCTCTGTGAGGTAATTTATGCCTCATTATAAAGGAACAAAGTTTCTTAGACTACTTTGGAAACAGTTTGAAGAATAGGTTGGAGCAGGCAGCAATGACAAGAGCGAGAGGACGTCTTGATAACAACTATCGTCCTCTTTTCTTCATGCCTGAAACATAGTGCAAGCGAAGGAAAAAAGATTTATGAATCATGACCATCATATGTTGCATTGTTTCCTACAAAGTGCGTAGAAACTTCGTCATAAATATGTATATAGTATGTCAAAAGAGCTTCTTTTACAGATGTTTCAATGGAATGTAGTGGAAGAATGCATCGTTTAGACTACAGAAGTAATATCTTTATTGTGTATTAGCATATTTGTGATAGTGGAGAGAGAAAATAACAATTTAGTTTTGTACTAAGATCTAGCATATTCACGAGCAGAATAATATAAAACAAGAGCCATCTTAATTTCTAAATGAAAAGATCATGAAAGAAGGTTCGCTCTTCCCCCATGTTGTAGAAGATAAGACAACACAACTTAGAATACTAATTTTTTCTATTAAATATATAACTGAGAACACTGAGGATGTTCTGAAGGGCAAAGATGACGATCAGAAGTTATTACACATAAGATAATGGTCAAGAGATTAGTTCAACAATGACCAGGCATTGGTGGTTGCTAGAAATAGTCATCGAGGTTGAGTATCAGAGAAAGCTCCAAAGTTACTGAAATCTCTAATTTTTTCCTCACAATCATAGTATTGCTACAAATTTATGTAGAGAATAGGGTCTTTTAGATTTTGAAAGTTGCCTTTTTTGATAAATTCGAACGAAATCCTAAAATACTCCATGTGATGGCCTATATTAATTGTTTTGATCATAGACTACTTATTCAACATTTAAGCACACTAATGTTCTCTAAATTGAGTGATCTTGGGTTAATTAGATTTATCCTAATGAGCTACTTGTTTTAAATGCAAGCATACAAAAATCTAAAATCATTTAGTCTTATAATTAACATCCTAAAATTTTCAACGCCATTTAGGTACTTTATTTGGAGAAATTTGTGCCTAAATTAGATCACATTGTGTTATTGGATTTGTCTTATTAAGATATTTACTTTTACATTTAAATTTTAAAAATCAAAAGGTAAATAATAAAAATCTAATTCTAAAAATTTTTATTCTACAACTCAAGGTCTATGCTTAAACAAACAAATTTTATGGTGATGTATTTTTGCCCCCTGTTTTTAAAAGCCATATTTTTTTAATCCAAAAAAAAATGTAATCCAAAAAATATTAGCTATGCAAACTTAATTGCATGTCACATCATGAGGCTTTTTTTAAATCATTCTTATTGATAAAAAAAAAAATCAAATCATGATAATAAATAATTAATTGTAACTCCTAACTTTAAATTTAATAACTTTATTTCATAATATTTATAACTATTTCTAATTGTTGTGTACTACTAAATTCACTACAATGGAGTGATATAATAGCGTCCTGATGTTGTATGATGATCTATCACACAGATGAAGATGAAAGAAAGGCTAACATGGAGAACATTAGAAATTTTTATGTTTAAAAGCCTAAAAGGATAACACCACGAGACATAACCCAATTGAAATAATTTCACTATGTCGATTTAGGTTACAAGACAACTTTATCCCCTGAATAACTAGATGTAATATTACGCAAGTGGGGATTATTGACACAACTTCCACTAGAAGAGTGGCGGAATACGTAGTGGATAGTGGCGACCTGAATGTCATGAAGGAGGACAAATGTTTAAAGTCATGTGCTAAAAACACCAATACTAGCGTTGCTAGTAATAGTGTCAATTAAGTAGTGGTCTGATGGCGGTGGCAAGGTAGTGGTGGTCCACCGCTTAGCGGCGGTGAAAGTGGTAATAAAATAGCGGAGGTGGTGGAAAAGCAACAATGGTGGGGCAAAAGAAGTGATAGTTTAATGGTGATGACGACCAAATGTCGTTGGTCTGGTAGTGACTACAATTATGCCCAAGTTAGGTGATATGGCAATGTTAGTGATCAAACATCGGTAATCCAGTGAAGGGTGACGGTAGTAGCCAGTTAGAGGTGGAAATGACACAACAACGTTGATGGCCAAGTAGTGGTGCTCCAGTAGTGACGACAACTAGAAAAAAATGGTGTTATAGTATCAATGGTGGTGGTCATACAGTGGTGGCTTGGTGATAACAGTGGCCCAACAGATGTTGTTAGCTGGGAAATGGTGGTCCAGTAGTTGTGGCGGCTAGATGATGTTGATCTAATAGCGACGATGGAGATGGCCGAGCAGCACTGGTCTGATGACGACAGTGGCTCTACAATGATGGTCCAGCTGCATTGATAGTGATAACTGAGCAGCTATTGTCTGATAATGGAAAAGATCGGCTGATGATGGTGGTTGGGCAACACTGTTCTTATAGTGATAGCAGTGGTTGTTGAACAACATTATTTCTACAATGAAGATAACCTAATGATAGAGTTCTGACATTAATGTTGGTAGTTCATCGGGCAATATTGGTCTGATGGTGATGGCGACCTGACGGTGGTGGTCCAATTATAATAATAACGATTGTCAAGCAATGGTTATTTTGTGGTAATGACGACGAGATGGTGATGGTTTGGTGGTAGTGATGTGATGACTGGGTAACTGTGGTCCAGCAGTTGCACAAGCCCGATGGTAGAGATTTGGAAACAATGGTAGTGACCAAATAATTCTGGCCTGGCAATGGATATAACCAGATGACAGTGGTGCAGCTCGAGAGCTTTCAATACTTGAAGCTCCTTCAACTTTCTCCTCTTGATCCCCTTTTATGAAAAGAGTAGGGTTTAATTTTTAGATTTGATGAGTGGCATTATCCGTATATATTGCATGAATATTGATCACTCCATTAGACACCCTAGAGGGATCTATTTGATCAGATGTTATTTTATGAGTATTTTAATTCCTTATGATGACATAATTAAGTGATCTTGAGCTCATTGGTTTTGCCTTTTGAGATAATGACTAGTCAATTTTACATGATTTTACATACATGTGATTATTCTTTTTACTTGCTATTTCACAACATTTATCATGATTTTATGCTTGTGAAGGGTTCGTTGTGTTATTTTCTTGTTTGTAGGTGTCAAGCATGCAAAACAAAGTTAAAATGTGTGACATGATGCTAAATGGCATGAACACATCAGATCTAGGAGTGACCACACGTGATCTGGACGTGACCACACCATTTTTGGGCTTGACCACGCTGCCCGAAAAGTAATATTATTGCGACCTCATTAGATTTGGTCCTGTCCATGCTGACAAAATGGGAAATATTTTTGGAAAAATTATTCTTGCTAAATCTGAGATATTGGCTATAAAAAGAGATCATAGGGCTACTTGGAGGAGGGGGGTGGTTAGAGATGGTTCTTTAGTAGAGATTTGAGGTTTTGAATGTAAACTCTAGAGTTCTCTTCTTCATTGATGGGGAAAACTTTCATGGTGTTTTTATTATTCTTTTTCTCTTTTCATGTGAAGTTCCTTGCGAGTTGGAAGGATTGTGAGGAGAAATTTAGTCCAAGTGTATGAATGGAGATTATTAGAGCTTGTATTTAACAGAGAGAGTCATAATGGATTGCGAGGAATGACTGGCTCGATTTTGAACTTTCTATTATCCTTATGTTGTTTCCTTTTTTTTGCTCGCAACAGTAAATCTTGTGTTTTCCCTTTCTATGCATTATTGTTGATTTTGTTTTAGGCTTTTGTGACATATGGCATGTGGATTTCTGGTAGTTTTCATTCTATAGATTCTCGATGTCTGTTTTTAAGCATGAAATTTTAATGTCAATGTTGTAAATCTTAGGTTGTTCTTTAATTCTTATTGTATGGAATAAGAATGTTAAAATCCCTTGCAAACTACGAATTCTAGTAAAATAAGTAGATTAAACACAAAAAATTTGTTGAATATGGATAATCTATTAGAATTTTGCAACCTAGTAAGTGGATCAAAAGAATTTTGGGAAATGTCATGGGGTTAAGAAAAACTCAATTCTATAGGTTTTTTATTCTTCTTCTGACCTAGGCATAGGCTTAAAATGAAATTATTTATCCCATGTTGTCAAAATAGCTTGGGTTTCATAAGTAAACTTCAGGAAAGCGCCTGACCCATGTCACAGGAGTATGAATCTTGCACATTTGAAAAGCTTTACAATTTGTCATGTCATTTCTGTTTATTGTATGTCTATGATTGTTAGATTCTTTTCTCACAATTGATTATTTCAAACTAGACTTAGAAACTCAATAAACAAGATCTTCTCATGTTAGAAATATTTGGACACTATCCTTGTGGGATAGATATGCTAACTCTTAGACAACATTATTACTTTACATGTATAAATGTGTGTGAGTGATCGACTTAATTTGTGGTAAGGTTTTTGCTATCAGACACTTAATTTAACTTAGAACTTGTCAAATTTGTTAGATCATTTGGTTCCAAAAATATATCTTAATGCTTCTTAATATGCTTTAAGTGCATGATATGGGCTTACTTTCACTCAAATTAAACAATAGTTGTTATCAGCTGATTAACCTTCTCAAGACACTATATTTAAATTAGAGTACAGGCAATTAAAATATTGAAGTTCTCAGTCTCAAATTGCTTAGATATTCTTGTTTTATTATGTTAGTTTTTTTTTTGAATGTATCAGTTGCCATTTATTTCCAAACATTATTGTCAAAGTTTCTAAAAATAAAACACACGGAATTCAATAATTATGTGACATAAAATAGTTTCTTGAAGAGATTGTAAGATGCAATTGATCCTTTGTTATTAACATTGACCTTCTTATTTGGGTTGTGACCGAAGAAGGACGACC